AATATATTAATTGCTGTTAACTCTCATGAATGGTAAAATGTGTGTGACGCGTAAATTTAAGCAGAATAAAAGTGATTCTCAACCACTGTGCCGCGGCACTTTTGTGTGCCTCCAAATATTAGAAATGATACAATTATAATGCTTTTTTTTTATTATGAGTAAAGTTTAAATGAAAGAAAAGTGTGTGTATATATATACATTTTTATCATTTTTCCACGTTTTAACAGCGTGAACATCTTTGTCGGCAATTGTCTTGTCTCTGACAATCTTAAAATAAGATGGAAGTGTTATATGACACACAATTTTAAAAAAATGTTGTAAGAGCAGAAGCATTAAAGTAAGCTATGCAATTAATAAACAAATTAACAAAGGATAACTAACAAAAATTAAGCTAACAATTAATAATTAGCAAAAAAAAAAACTAGTTAACAAGAAATCACAAAAAAGTAACAGTTAATAACTATAGAAAACAAGCTAACAATTAATAACTAGCTAAAAAATAAATAACTGTTACTGACTAATAAAAAATTGGTTGAAATAAATAAATTTGGTGGACCTGAATTAGTCTTTATCAGTCCCTAGTTGTCCTTGCACAAACATTCCTGCATCCTAGAAGGAACAACAGAGGAGAGGCTGGCACATACGGAACTGGAAGTCCAATACCGTGGTCAGGAGACTGAACAAGGGTACGGTGTTCTCAATTGACACCAGCTCACCGAATACGCCTTTTAATGTGGTGCCGGAAGCACAGCAGCCGGGCAGATGCGCAATGTACTCTTTATGGATGAGAGCAGATTTAGCCTGATTCTGAACGCATGAAGATGACCCCCTCGAAAGAGACCGATTTGGAGCTCTTATATGTATCGGTACCTGTACTGATCTACACATCTTCCGAAGTGGTTCAGCGCTGAACTGAGGTTCTCCTTCGTCACGTGTGTCCTGTTAGAGGTGGACGATAATGCTACAGTTCATCGTAGAGTGGCTGTGACAGAACTGTTGGCGATATTGCAAGCATCCGATTGAACACGTGTGGGACACTCTAGGGAGACGCCTGATAGCACGTCCCCAGCCGACAGAAACAACTAGCTCTACTTCGTAAACAGATTTTTCTGCTTCTCCGTATTTTGTTTTGTATAAAATTGCACATTTTTAGTCTTTTTGTTATCCTCACTTATCAACAGTCAGTTAGAGGTGCCCCCTTTAAATCACCGTGAGTTCGAACAATAACCCCTTCCTTCTCGCTCCCGTGAAAATGACGAGATGAGGTTTCGCTCTCTATTTTTGGCTCCCGTGATATTTCCGGGCTGGAGTGTTCAGTAGTAACGCGGCAATAAGAATAAAACTAATTCATTTCTTTTGCCAGGANTAACCCCTTCCTTCTCGCTCCCGTGAAAATGACGAGATGAGGTTTCGCTCTTTTTCTGGCTCCCGTGATATTTCCGGGCTGTAGTGTTCAGTAGTAACGCGGCAATAAGAATAAAACTAATTCATTTCTTTTGCCAGGAAAACATTCTATTTCTCATTTTACACACCAGATGGCAGTATCAGGATAATTTTAAGGTAATTGTAGATAGTTAGCTTTTTTTTAAACTAGATGTCAGCACTAACCAGTGATAAAAAAATAGGCACTTTTATGACCTTTTATTTTTCTTAGAAATTAACCGATCGTTAATGGGTTAACTGCGATTCATTCGCCTATCTTACTATTTTTTGGTCAGTTTTTACGTTCGGAACAGTTAGTTTTTCAAAAAATCTAAGTATATAAAGTTCCATCTAAATTCCATTTGATGAACAAGAATTACCGTTGAACATTTTCATTCAAACACCGCTTTTCAGATATTGTAAACGCTAAACCAAGATTTGTTATTATTATTTTAGAATGGATATTTAAAATGGAATAAGAAATTTTTTTAAAAAGGTCGAATCGCCTCTTCTTGGGATTCGCGTAAAAGGAATTTGGTAAATCCCCGAGATTTTGTGGTGTTACTACCCCACTACAAATATTAAATACTAATTCACTAGACACGTTAACTTGATTCTATCATGAGGTACCTTTTCATAGATGAAGTCGATAATTATTACTACCCACATTGGTGACCTGGACGTGATATGAACTTGCCAACGTTGATGGATGGTCCACATTAAAAAAGCAGTTGATTTGTTTAAAAATATACTGCTCGAAGAAAAAAATAAACCGGTGAAGTAAATAAAATCTCCCGGTCAATAACCAAAAAAAAAAAAAAAAAAAAAAAAAAAAAAAAAAAANAAAAAAAATGAAGGGGAAAAATAATGAGCGAAATGTTATAAAAAACAACAAAAAAATAAAAGAAGAAAAAAAATATAATGAGCAAAATTGATATAAATAAATAAACAACACGAATCAACTAGTGGTATCTGTTCATCGAATTCTATCCCATATAAAATTCTGGAAGGGGAGTAATGTGGCATAACTACCCCACTCTAAATATCAAATCACTAGTATATAAGAGACATGTTAACTATCTTGAGGTACTTTTTGATAGATGAAGGTTGACATAGGGTAAACTAACCAGTGAAGGAACACTTAAGCTTCGCTTGCCTTTTAAAAAATTATAATAATTTCAAAATTCGTAATTTTAGTTAAACGACAGTGTCAACATATTTTTTACTATACTTTCAAATTATGTAAAAAAATTGTAGAGAACTTACATAATATTGTTTTAAAGTTTTGGAGGTTCAAGTAACAAGTAGTAAGAAGACCAAGTGAAGGAACAGCTCTTACCAGTAAATGAACACCCAGTAAAGGAACACTTAATTTTGGTTATTTTTTAATGCTCTTTATGAATTTATAAGCCATACAAATATTTAAAAACAAGAATATTCTTGAAATTATAATATATAAATACTTGGAAAATGTTAACTTTTTTTTGTAATCATGAATTGAAAATTAAAGTGTCAACATATTAACACACACTGTTCATTCAGTGCGAAATCTATGCCCAGTAAAGGAACATGCCTGTTCCCTCACTGGTTAGAAGTTGTTTTTCGTATTTTTAACATACTTTTGATGCGGAACATCACTAAAGGTACAAGAAAGTTTAAAGTTTATCTTTCAATTTCATTAACTTAGAAAAAAACCCAGTAAAGGAACACTTGTTCCTTCTCTGGTTTTTCATCGTTTGGTGATCCAGTGAATAAACACCCCCTTATCTCAGTACTTGATTATGCTATGGTGCTTTAAAAAAAATAAAACGCAATTTCAATAACTATATTTTGAATTCTCTTTTTCACAGTGAGAAAAATAAAACTATTACATGCAATTAATTCCACTTCAAGCATATAAATACAAACACTCACCTTATAATTTTTTCAACGAAACAAGGTGTTGCAGAGATAACAAAAATTTTTCCAGAGAAGTCTATTTGACCAGGTAATCCAAAACATTGTTAGATGACTTCCTATTGTTTGGCAGTAAGCTATTGTTACCAATCAATCTAAAGAAAAACTTTCAAATTCTTATTTTTAATCAATATAGTATATGAAATGTTCCTTCACTGGTTGGTTTACCCTAGTCGATAATTATAACTCCCCACAATTTCCCCGATCAGATGCTCCTGGAAATCTGAAGTAATGACTACAAATTACATTTAAAATTCCTTCTCAACAAGGTGCGTAGCCAGTTTTTTCAACAAAAAATAAGCACCTTTTAAGCACTCAAAAAAACATTTTTAAATCACTTTCCAAAAAAAAAAAAAATTCATAATTAGGATCTGTGCAATAATAAAAAAATTTTTTTCTTTTGTTTAAAGTTCTTAATTTATAAACATAAAATCAATATATTTAAAAAGCCTTATATAATCATGATAAAAAAAATTTTAAATAACTAATTTCTGACAAATATTGCAGAGAAAATTGTGAAAATCATGCATATTTTTGTAATTTTAGAACGACGATTGATACGGCAAAGAAAAAAAAAATGTCTTTTTAAAAAGAGAGAAAATTATGCACTTTTCACAAACCCCGAATGAAAAAAAGCACCTTTAAGGGCTTTTAAAAAACGTAAATCAAAAATAAGCACTTTTTAAAAACGCTATACGCACCCTGTATACAAGTAAATTATTCTTAGGTGAAAATTCTATTGCTTTCAACAAAATAATCTTCAACAAAAATTTTCAGAACAGTTTTTGGCAAAAATTTCCATTTTTAATAACTAACGAATTACTTCCAAAGATTTTATATCAATCAATAACATAATGGAAAAACATATTGGCATGCACGTGGTATTGAGAGTTACAATATGAAATGTAAAAGACAAATCTTGCATTTCATGTAATAAAAATGCCCCAAAAATTAGTAAAAATTGGAAAAAATTTAAAAATGCTTTAAAATGCAAAATACACCCCAAAATTTAAAAAAAAATGCCCTATAAATCTAAAACAATGCTCTAAAGCAGTGTTCCCCAACCCCCGGTCCGTGGATCAAATTTTATCGGTCCGCCCATTTCATTGAAACTGAATTTAAATTCCTAGGTTTATACCCCAAATTAAAAATATCTGTGTTCTATTAAAATTTTATTTATTTAAAAAAAGTGGCCCCCGAAGGTAGTGACATAAATTTTTTAATGTTTGTAATGTATCATTGTCTCCGATTACCCCCTGATGGAACCGTCTCATTGCAAAGAAACAAGCTCAGGGTTCTCATTGATTTAACATTCTAGTCAGTTAAAATGTTAAATCACTTAATTTTTGGTACAACTGTATTTTATTTTGAAAGCATGTTTAAATACAATTAAATTAAATTAGTAATACGAAATAATTAACGTCTTCCCCCCCCCCAGTGGGCCGCGGTAAAATTATCAAACGTTGACAGGTCCGCGGTGATAAAAAGGTTGGGGAACACTGCTCTAAAGGTCAAAAAATGTCCAAAAATGCAAATGTCATCAAAATCCGGACCTTATTTATTATTAATAATTACCAATATTCAACCAATTGTTTATGGAATGATATGTTTAATAAACTTACCAATAATCGGCCGATCATTAATTACTTCCTGAGTATGTGCCCAGGATGAAAAACACAGAACGAAAAATAAGATGACTGATGCCATTTTCTTAAGAGAAACACTGACTGATGACCTTTCGATTTTGTCTTATCAATGCATATGCATTGATAAGACACGATATGTTAATCTCTTTCTTCCCAGAAGCACTTCTGAATTATTAATTACTATATGACGCAATCAAGCATAAACTGACCCATAATCTTTTTTGTTATTATTTGCTTTATTTACCTGTGCACAGTGGGCCAGCATCCAAGGTTACGTGGCCAAAATTAGTATTTCGATAAAATTTGTTTCAATATTTGGGTTTTTTTTATGTGCAGGTAAATTGAATTCATAGTTGAAATACACTAAAAATACCCCCAAAAAAACAAAATGGCGGTTGAAATATGGCGTGCAAAAATTAAAAAAAAAATAATATAGTACGATTAAATAAATAAATATAGCAATGAAAATATGATAATTTTCGTCATTTTATATTAAAAATGAAAAGCAAATTATATTTCCGAAGTAATATTACGAAATAACGCGAATTAATTACAAGATAATGCGAAAACATGAAGAAAAAAAAAACATAATTTTTGTTCTTCGGTGTATTTAGTTCACCTTTGCAATACGGGCAAAATGGGGGCAGGGTTTTTCGAAAGAAGAAACATCAAAGAAGACAAGAACAAAAAAATTTAGCTCATGACCTCGTGGAACTTTTTGGAACTCAGTTTCGAAAGTGATTCAAACATTGTAAAATGCCAAATGATAAGATATAAACTATAAGTGTGTCAAGAGTATTAACAAATCCAACACATTGAAAAATTGTTCTATCATTCAGACTCATTACTCTGATAAAAATGTAAACAGAAAGGTGAAATTTCTATATATATTTCTGAAATGAAAATTTAAATTACTTTAAAAAAATTTTTTTTAAACATATTTTTCATTACATTGTACTCTCGTCTGTCCAAAAAGTAAATTATAATGTTTGGAATGATGATGAATACTTAATGTGGGCTAGATTAAAACTGCCTACACATATTTTAGTTGAAAATTAATTTTTTACTTTTGGCCAAACATCATAGTCTTCTGGCCCACTGTTTAAAGTTTTCCATTTTCTCCAGTTAGTTATAAGTCCATTTACGTCGCATTAGAGCTGCACAATGGACTGAAGACATGCCATCACGATTTTGATCCTCTGCAGAGGGGATGGCACCCCCTCTTCGGTAGCCCTACGACCTACACGCGAAGTCGAGCACTTTACGGTAGAACAGTTTAACGAGGACCGTTTGATAACATCGCCTATCAGAATAACATGTAGTAAGCAGCTGCAAACTTTTTAACCGGAATGGGCTCTTCCCAACTTCGTCTGATTGGTCACGTGGTGTTGTAATGCCCGACCAACTACGTCCATTGTTTANAAAAAAAAAACTGTATGCCTTACGATTCAAAAGTTTTCATACTATTATTGTCCGGATGTGGACTGATCGTTAAGACACGGTTCCCAGCAGATCACTAAAGTTAAGCATCACTGGCTGCGATCAGTGTGCGAGTGGGTGACCATTTGAATCAATCTGCGTAGGGACCGAGGGTGTGCGGTATTGGTCCTCGTTAAACTGTTCTACCATGAAGTGCTCGACTTCGCGTGCTGGTCGCCGGGCTACCGAAGCGCGGGTTCCATCCCCTCTGCAGAGGATCAAACCTAAAGGGATGTTTCCCAGACCGTCGCCAATAGCTTATTGTGCAGCACTAGTGCGACGTAAATGATCAACAACATCAAACTATTATGAAATAAAAAATGATAAATATTTACTAAAATTTATTTTTTGCATGGAATTATCTTTAGATAAACGAATTTTATAATCGTGTGCAAAAATTTTTCAATTCCCTTAANTCTGTAGTGAAAAAAAAAAAAAAAAAAAAGAAGAAGAAGAAGAAAAAGAAAATATAAAGCATTTGGGGGTCCAAACTTTGGATAGCTGACCCGCCCCAACTATTGGGAAAATATTTCCCAGATTACAGCTACCTCCTATATTACGGGGGCTAGAAAATCGAATCTGTTTCCTCTAAATGTAATGTTAATCATAAAATACCAATTTTATAAGCCTTTTGAATTCGGTTACTATACCGTTAGGAAAGTCTTTTCAAGACAAAACCATTATAACAATGAAAATTATTTTTTAGTCTCAAATCTAAAAGTTTTTGATCGCGTTATGGAAACTGAAGGAAATTATAGACTTTTTTTTCTATCGGCACATATATCCACATTTTAAAAAGTCCTAATTGCAAAAATATACAGAAATTTTTTCTCTATATACATCGATTAACAAAAACAAAGTTGTCTTACAATATGGAGCCTTACAAAGTTGCCTTACAATATGGACAGGTCCCTAGAAAATATAGCTATGTTTTGAAAAGAATTCGTTCTTGAATATTTGGCCTATGTATTCATGACGCCATGTAATCACATGTGGCAAAATTATGACAAAGAGTAATAGATTTTTATTTTATTTATTTATTTTTTTTTTATGAAGGAAAATGAGAAAAAGTCAAAGCATATTTGCTCATTAAGAAAAAAAAATTCCTTTTAATTGTTTGTCAATGAATTTTAATTGCTACGGATTTCTAAGCAAATGTTCATAGCTTTTTTATTAAATTAAATGCGTCTTTTTATTAAATTAAATATGATTTTTTTTATATAAAATAAAGATTGCATTTCATTTTTTAATAAAAACAAAGTTGTTAAAAATCCGAAAAATTCGAAGTTCCAATTTAAAAAATTTAAGGGTCTTAATAATTTAAAAAATATAAAATAAGAGCAAAATCCATGCACACAATAAACAGTAAAATTATCAATTAAGGTACTATACAAATTAAATTTTATATACGAACATACGAAAAAACAATTTTTATGTTACCATTCTTACAAAAGAATTCTAGCAGTATATAAATAAAAAATTTAAATTTATTAAATGAGTTAAATGAATGCAAACATTTACTTACCTCCTTATAAATAAATTTACTTTGGGTTTTCTTGTTTTCTAAAGAAAATGTTTATTAAGAATGGGAATTATTGATATCACGATTTATGTTTGAAAAAAATGAAGTTGCAAATAAATATTAATAACTCTTAATTGAAGTTAAATTTTAATTTCAAAAATTGAACGAAACAAAAGGTAGCAGAAAATTTATATCTGAATTTAAAATGGTTCATTTAAATGACGCAATTAAATGAGTTAAAAACTGGAATTTAACTGCAACGTTTTACGTTTGTCTCAGAAAAAATCTCTTGACAAAATGACCTAAGTATATGTCAACAAGAGTCATCTCCTAGGATGGACCTTAAAAGCTTACATCTGTTTTCCTAGAACATCTAGATAATTGCTAGTTTAAGACAACTTGAGGGACATATAGATGGTACTGTAAATATAGGACATTTTATAAAAGCACAAAAGAGCCCAGGGTCATAAAAATGATTAGGGCAATTTAAAGAAGGAAAAGGTCATTTTCCCATGGTGTAAAAGGAGATGGCTATCTTTTGAGGAGTCAGATAACTGTGGGTCAACTCTGTGGATGGTATGTAGGTTTTAGCACCTTCGTACCACCCACAGTCAAAAGATGCTGTCTCAGTGTAGGATGCAAAACAGTGGTACTTATTTTAGTTTTCTAAACTCTTGTTATGTTTTTTTATGATTGTTCTCCTCTTCTCTTTTCGTGTTTTAGTTTTAATTTTTTTTAATAAATTAAGAGTTGTAATATGTAGAAAAAAATTTAAACAAAACCGTAGTATTTTTCTTGGGGGGGGATTTCTATTTCAATTTGGAAAATAGCTAGTAAATTGGAAAAAAAAGTAGTTTGTTTTTCTGAAATTCTCAATTCTATTTTACTTTATTGTAGCGAATGTCAAATTTTCAGAAGGGGAAGAGCGCATTATCTTCCATCTCAATTAAATTTCAGGGAAAAATAAAGTTTCGATTTGGAAAATAGCTTTAAAGTCGAAAATAAGAGTTAAATATAAATTTTGCTCGACTTTATTCCTGCGAATGTCTGAAATTCAGAAGGGGTGAAGTATATTCTTCACCCCCTCACTTTATTTTAAGAGGAAAATAAAATTTTCTTTTTGGAAAATAGCTTCAAAGTTCTTTAAAAAAAAAAAAATTTTACTGGGCTATATTATTTCAAATGTCTAAATTTCAGAAGATACAAAATTTTTTTTAGCCCCCCTTACTTTATATCAGAAGAAAATAAGTTTTCTATCCCCTTACCATAATTTAAGAGGAAAATGAAGTTTTCTATTTGGAAAATATCGTCGAAGTTATGAAACAAAACAATTCTCTTCTTGCAAAATTTCCAACTTTACTTGATTTTATTCTATTAATGTCTAAATTACAGAAGATGAAAAGCAAATTTTCCCCCCCCCTCACTTTTATTTCAGAAGAAAATAAAGCTTTCTATTTGGAAAATAGATTCAAAGATGACATTTTTTTTAGTTATCAATTTTTATTATTTTTGAGCACTTTGAAATTTCAGAAGGGGCGAAACACTATGTTCGCCCCCTCATTACTATTTCGGAAGAAAATAAAGTGAAAATTGGAAATAAAATATTTTTTCCACTTTCATTTTACTTTTCCAAAAGTCAAAAAA